ATATATATATATATATATATATATGAGCCTTAGCCTGACTCATTGGTTGCGACCTTTGGTGTAAGTCTCTCGGGTTGGGGCTTCGATCACTCCGTAGGATCGAATTGCACACCTTTTGGAAAGGGGGTCCGCCCCTCGGTCAAACTATGGGGTTGATCGGCGATCAACCTTTTAATATATATATATATATATATATTCTAATTCCTTAACAATAATTGTATCTAGCTTATTGGTGCAATATCTACATTTTCTTTGTACATGCTCAGCATGTCATTTTTTTACCATCTTATCTTCAATAAAAGTTGTAAATTTCTTTCATCCATTCTTCTTTTTATACGCCTGTCTTTACATTTTCGTTTTTATTTCTCCTAGCTTGTTTGGTGATAGATTATTCGGTGCACATCACTTGTATCCATGCAATTTAATTGGATTAATTGCAACTTTCTAAACTTTATCTATGTGCTTATGATTTTCTTCTTTTGCATAGCACTCATGGTATTGTCTTTACTCATGGTATTGTCGTATTGCATTGTAAGATTCTGTTGCTTCTTTGTTTTGGCTCCCAACATTAATGATGACCTTATACTCTAATTATATATTCTCATTCTTTTCTCAATTTGATTCAAAATGTATAAACCCATCGTATGTTAGCATCATTTTACCTTGTAAAAATACTGGTTGATAATTTGTAAAAGCACACAATAAAATTGCATATTACATATTTAAGTGTTAGTACATAAATATTTAGTTGGTAGAAATGTAAAAAAAAAAACATTGTTTAAGTGTTAGTACATAAATACATAGGAATTGAGCGGTATGTACTGAAATGCTCCAAAGAAAGGAAATATAACATTGTCTGTTAATAGCTGTGTTTTGCGCAAATTCTGCTTTGTTCTTTTGGAATCTTATAATGGATGCCATTCTGCAGAAATTAGTGAGTAGAACTGTGACATTTACAAGTTCTAATGAGGAAATTAATTATACTAAAATCAGCATATTTTCAAAGTTTTATTTGTTCAAATCATGCAAAAAAACAATATAGAATACAGTAATAATAAAAAAGATGTTTTCCGCCATGATTGAATCTCCATGTTTCTTGTTTGCTGCAGGATCAAAAGCGTGCTCTTGAGATGATTGAGAGTGATCCAGAGCTTAGGGACTTGAAATTTATCCAGGCGCCGCTAGTAGATGTAGAGATTAGAGGAGTTCCTGCACTGAGATTTTTGGGTGAGATTGTCTGGAAATGATCATGAAACAAAAATTCAGTAAAATGATTTGTTTCAACAGTAAATTTAGTCATTTATGCAAACCATTCTACACAAAAATCAAGTTTTTATCAGTTCTATGAGCAGATTAGAGAAGGTTACTGGATGTTATAATTTACAAATGACATTTTATTTATTTATTTTTCTTTTGGCACCCTCTTACATACAATATTCAGAAGTAATTCTGTTAAACGTTCAAAGTTTATAATATTTTGTTTATTAAGATGATTTCATTATTTTTATGGGGTTAGTTTCAAATGTGTTCTCTTCTTTGTGAGGCTTGTCTGTTTGGACCAAAGTTGGGAAATAGAAGGTAAATTTTGAAACATTTTTGGTGCACATTTTCATGCTTAGATAGGTGGCATGTATGTAAAAATTAAAGCATGTGTTAAACATGTAAACGCTTAAGAATTGGGTGGTATGGATGTACATGCCCCAAAATTTTTTTTTTTTTAATATTTAAGGATGCGAAGGTAGCCAACCTTACACAAAACAATATCAATAAAAATGCTTGCACCTTCTACAATAATAATGACATGTTGAGATCGGAGGAGAAAGCCTAAATCACAAAAATAACTTTTTTATTAATAAGAAAAGAGGGTTACAACACACAAAAAAATATAAAATAATACAAACTTACACCTCAAAAGTGTATCCGAAGGGTAGTAGAGGTTGGTTGAAAGGTGGGGTAGCAATCTTGGAAGGGACAACAACTGAAAGTAGCGGGACAGTAGTTGGGACGACAGGAAAGTAGATGACAGCGGCCCGTTGACTGTAGAAGGGCGTTTGACAGCAGCCTGCAGTGGTGCAGGGAGGAGAGTTGGAGATGATTTTGCGGGCCAGGAAGTAGTTGACGGTTGTTGGGTAGAGGGCAACTGGCGTCGGCCTGCTGTATGGTTGGGAGGTGGGCTGGTAGGGACAGGAAAGATGAGGACAGTTGTCTGCTAGATTCAAGAAGGGGCTAGACATTGACTTACGAGAGTGCAGGGGGGACGAACAGACAGACAGATAAATATCTCGGCAAGGTCGAGATACACTCGGAGCACCACACGACACATGATCACCACCTCAGATGAGGGGCAGCCGGAGCACTTTCTCGATGTCGGTTACACATTTCATGATTTAAAAATAATGTCACTCAGACCCTTGGAGACGATCATCACCTCAGACGAGGGATGGTCTGGAGGGCTTCCTTCAATCAGACACCACATTTGAGTGTCTGAATGATGTTGTAATTGAGCAATCTTGGCCTCATTAGATTCGTCTTGTCAATATGCACGATTTTATTATAGCCTTGCTAAATTCGGCATTTGTTTAACCTTCTTAATGTCCTGAAAACTTTTAAGAGTGTTTTAATAACTTGATTTGATCTTGATTTGACTTGTATTGGACTAATTTTGGTAACATTGAATTCTTCTTGTCAAGTCGGTAAGTTTGATTGCAAGTTTGCTAAAATCGGAGTTCTGGATGAGTTTTTTTTTAGGTTTGAATCTTTTTTGCTTAAAAATCATCTCGAGATTTGTGTAATGCCTCGAGATTCATGCCAAATGATTGAGATTTGCTGTAGATGTATGACGACACAAATTTTGAGACATGACACAAATGTCATGGCAACCTTTTGAGCAAGAAATGTTCATTCTTTGATTAAGAGTCTTCCAGAAGTCCAATTTCAACAAACTTACAGGCAAACTTACTAACAAGATAAGACAGAATTAATGATACCAAAATTATTCAAATCTAAGACAAATCAATCGTCAATCAAGCTATTAATTCATTTTTGGAGGCTTTTCGGGCATATTTGAAAGACCAAATTGATGTCGAATCTAGTGAACTTATGATGAAAACGAGCTTATCGATAAGACGAATCCAATGAGCCCAAGTTCGCTCAAATTTGACATCGTTAAGGTACTCAAATGTCCATCAAACGTCGTAAGGAATCTCTCTGGGTCGTCCGATCAGAGTGGTTCATATTCCGTCAAAGGAGTTCAAGTTTAACATCACCTTGTTGTCGACTGCCGTCGACCATCAATCGCCGATCACCGCAGACTACCAGTCGCCAATCACGCGAACTTCCAGTCGCCGATCGTCGCCATCTCGTCGACCGCTGCCGACAATCAATCATCGGCCCTCGCCAATCAGCATTGGGCGTCGCTCACTTCTTAGGATAAGTTCAT